AAATATTGCGCCAGAAAAGAGGAGTACCACCCTCAAACAGGAGCGCTCAAACAGATCTCATTAAATCTTTTGTTGCAAAATCCATTGCAAGTAAGCAACTCGATTTTAGCGTCTGATATAGAGCATAATGAATTATCACATCTGCAGATCGAGCTCATCTCAATAATAATTTAATCTAGCTTTTAACTTTTAGTTACTTTAAATTTTAAGTTAAAAAATTAAATTTACAATTTAAGTGACATCGCAACTTTTATTAAGCAGAAAAATTATTACAATTATTATCAGCTCTTTCTTTGTTTTTTTTTTAATTTTAATTGTAGTAACCTGCGTATTATTTAATTTAAAGGTAGTGCAACACTCACGTTTGCAAAAAATTCAAGGACAATTTTTTCTTCTTTTTTACTTTTGATCTACAAAAAACTTTTTTTTTTTAAACTATGTGTGCACTAAGCAGTTTAGGTAGGTCAAAAAATAAAAATAAAATGTTGTTTAATTTTTGTTATAAAATCGTGAGTAATATTGCGAATTTAATAGTTAGTTATTCCTTTTGTTTTTATTGTTTTTCTGTATGATTTATTTGCAAAGTTAAAGTTTAGGAAATATAATTGCTACTATTATTGTTATAAATCGTAAAAAGAAACACGACTGTTCTTGTTAAGTGTAATATGAGAACTAATGCGAGGTTTCTTCTAACGTACTTACGAGAAAATCTGAATGGCACTTGTCCGCACTCGGACAATTGATGTCGAGTGTCCGAGATACCGGCGCCCTAGTCAAACTCCCCCGCTTTTGATAAATTAGTAAAGGCATTCGACGTCAGATGTAATTCGACATTTTAACAACGTGAAGACGCACCCCATATATGGCTTTTGATTCAAATAAAATAGTGTTCCGGAATTTATCAAGCTCCGCCAGAATGCGTAGATGACTCTTGAAGCGTCTACGATCTTCGGTCCAGTTGAATTGTTTAACTCTATTTCCATGACCCCAGTTTCGAGATCTGTATGAAGCGGGACCAAGACCAGACGATTTCCGACGAGGCCGTTGGACGCGTCCTGAATCCATCTGCATACACAAAGCAAGCCAAGCAACGAGTACGTGTTATTTCCGCGCGCATTTCGATCTTCTACCACCAAGCGGTGAAGCACATTACCATTGGCTTAGTAAGCACATTACCATTACTGAGCCAATGGTAATGTGCTTCACCACTTATCATATAAAACAATAGACCATTTATCACATATTCAAGCATAAGATGGTGTCCTTAACTCAAGAGTTGTTCAACAAAACTAAGAGTGGTCTTCAGTATATCATTCAAAACTCCGTCAATCTAAATATTTGATAGTGAATGGTTAAAGATTTTGACAGAATTTATTTCAGATTCTACACAATTATCTACCTGGTCCCGCTGTAGATTTCGAATAGGGTAAGGGAGTTTCGGGAGTCATGCCCACTCTCCTGGGCCGGATTAAGATGTTATAATTAGCTGGGCTGAAGCCCAGAAAAATAGTTCAGTGGCTAAAAAATGGCTAATGTCCAGTGGCTAATTTTATAAATGTAGCTTCAAGAAAGACAGCGCAATTGACCTAGCACCTAGATAAATACAACAAACTATGGAAACAGTTTAATTTGAACGACTTAATAGTAAAAGAGTTTTGAAGTGCGAACACTGATTACGCATATTTCAAAATTGAATAGTAATACAAGGTGAGACAACTCAGGACGAAACTACAAGACCGACTAGTTTTGCTCAAAGCGCAAGCCAACCCGAAGGCTCTAAAATTGAAAAGCAATCTGTCGAAGACATTGAAACAGACGGCTGAGGTAAACGCTGATGATTTGATAGACATAGAACAACAGTAGCGTTACAAAAACAGCGTAGTAAAATAAAAATATTGGAAAGATATTACTAGAATAAATGATAACATCATTTCTCAATCAACAAATGAACAAGAATCAGAATACCGGAAAGATGAGCATTTCGAAAAAGTGGAAGAGAAACATCAGGAAACCGTTACAAGAATAAGGGAGCATACGCAAAAGCAAATTCAACCTGGTGAGTCTACAAGAGCACAAGAAAACCAAGTAAAATTACCGCAAATTAACATACCAACGTTCAACGGGCAGTATGACTTATGGACCAGCTTTTATAACCTGTTCAATTCGCTTATACATTCAAATAGCAAATTGGATAATGTCCAAAAATTTCATTATCCCAAAAGTTTACTGTCGCCAGAGCCAATGAACTTAATAATAAAACATCTCTTAGTAACTAGTGAAAATTACGTTACTGTATGGGAATGACTAACAGCTAGGTACAACAACACAAGAATACTGTTCTCATCATACATGAATAAGCTGCTATCTCTACCTCATAATGTTGGATACTACAAAATGCCTTTGTGCTATAAAAAACCTAGGCATTCCTGGGGCCCTATGATTAGTTTCCTAATTTTACAAAAAATTGATAAGGAAACTTCAAGGCCCTACGAAAAATAGGCAAACCCCAAGAAAATCCCAGAATTGACAACTATGTTACAGTTCCTGGAAACAAGATTTCAGGCGTTAGAAACTTTGGAGGACCCGGCAACAAAACCAAAAATGAAAAGCGAAGCAACCAAATGTATCACAGCGTGATATAGGGTAACCGAATGTCCAATTTGTACAGAGCAGCATAAAATTTACTCATGTCAAAAATTCAAAGACATGAGTATTACTCAAAAATGCGTAGCTGTAAGAAGGCACAGCTTATGCTCAAACTGTATCAGCAGCAATCATGTGAGAAACAAGTGCATTTCAAAGAGCACTTACATGAAATGCAGCAAAAATCATCACAGCCTTTTACATGATGTAAGAAAACACATAATACATCTAAAACAGAGTAAGAACACATAATACACCTAGTAATTCAGGTTGGCAATCATACAACTGCGTCATATCGAATAATGCAACTTAAAAGAACCAAAATTGATGCCATAATAACTGAAATCGGTGCAAAAGAAATAAGCTCTGTAAAAAATAGTGTGAGCATAATAATTGCATCAAAGCAATGTAAAGAATTTTCGGTTACCAACACGGCCTACGTTCTGGAAAACCTGACAAAAATCCTGCCACAAGAACAAGTACATTAAGACAAATGGAAGCAACTTAAGAACATAGATTGAGCCCACCCTGAATTTGAAAAACCTGCAAAAGTTGATCTTATATTAGGGTCACCTGTCATTAGTAAAATATAGCTTAGTGGAATAATAAAAGGACAATCACACAATCCAATAGCTCAGCAAGCAGTCTTTGGGTGAACTGTAACAGGTCCTGGAGCAATGAAAACCCTTAGAAACAGCTTGAAATTCATACTACACTGGATGATATTGATGCATAAGTCAAACAATTCCGGGCCGCCGAAGCAATTCCGAAAAATGAAATGGTGAAAAAAGATGAAGAATGTGAAGCATTTTATGAAACAACGACTTAACGTAATAACGGAGGGAAATATATTGCCGAGAGAAGACTATAAAGCAGCATTGCTTAATAACGACAGTAAAAAAAAGAGCAATCGCACGCCTAATTAATATTGAAAAATAGTTCGCAAGAAACCAAAAACGTTCTAAACGTTCTAAAAAGCGCTGGCTTTAGGCTTCACAAATGAGCAGGCAGCAGCCCACAACTCGTAAACAATACAATGCCGACAAGATCAGTTGAAATGAGAAACACACAAACTGAGTCATGTAATATATTAGGCATATGACGGTATCACAAAAAGGGTTGTCACAAAGAGGGTTGTTACAAAAAGTGTTGTACTCTCCGGAATTTCCGACCCACTTGAATGGGTAGCACCAGTTGTATTATCCGCAAAACTGTTTCTACAAGACATATCGAACAAAAATATTGGTTGGGATGACGGTAACAGACACGTGTACATGAAAAATATATCAATTTTCGAAACCAATTGTAATTTATAGGTCATGTAAAAATTCAACGGTGGCTTTTCTACACTTCAACCAAACCAATTCAACTTCATGGGTTCTGGGGCGCTTCAAGTAGAGCATATACTAGAGTAGTACACTCACGACTGCACCAAAACTGTTATAAGTCAACATTAATCAGCGCCAAAACAAACTTGGCATCGTCTTCGCGAAAACTTTCAATACCGCGAGAGCAGAGAGTTTCAATAGAACTAAAGGGAGCCGAGTTACTAATGAAACTGCTTAATAAGGTTGCAGATGATTTAGAAATGTCAAATATAGTACTATATGCATGGACTGATTCCAAGTAGTACACTCCTCCTCTCGTTGCCAACCGCGTTAAAATCATTCAACAATCACTAAGGAAGATTATTTAGAATTATTTTAATACAAATGAAAACGTCAATGAGAATCTGTCTGAAACAAATTATTGAAAACAAATTGTTGTGGTTAGGATTAGAATGGCTACATAATGATACGATAAATGTAACAAGACACTTCTATAACACAGAAATTAGCTGCCTAATAAAAAATAAGTTACTGCCTGTTAACAGCAAGATACTAGAGCTTCATCTATTTTTGAAAGTTGGTATCTTAAGAGTGGGAGCCTGACTACGAAGAACAAATATCGACGATAATTCCAAACATCCTATTATAATTCGATTGAGAATAGAAGGGATGAGGCTGTACCACAACGGGCCTGGTTGGCCTATGTGTAACTTTTGGGGTGCCCCCAAATTACGTAACTTAGTCTAATGGGTGTAGCAATTTTTTCGTAAAAAAGCAAACTAACAAACTTGAGTAAAATTGGCGGATATTGTATTTCCGACTTGAAAAAAAATTTTTTGACTCACACGATTTAAAAAATTCGTTATGCATAAATTATTTTTTTATATTTTACTTTAAAAACAAATACCCAAACGTTTTTAAGAAGCTATTTCCAGTTTACCTGAAATTTTTTTTGCGATCCACGAGGTATTCTTGCGAAACAATGGTTTTGAAATAGCAATTAAAAAGTAATTTTTTTGTACGACTTACTCAATCAAAATTGCATTTTCAATAGAAAAAGTACCGGCTGGTAAACCCTGAATTGCCCAAGTTCTTAGCATAATAGGTTCACCCAGTACGTTGTTGAATAAGAAATTGGAATTACATTTAATGCTGCAGGTTAGACACTTCTTTACCCAATTTTCTATTTGTTGTGATCTGAACTCTGCAGTGAAAGGTCCTAAATACGCAATAAGACCGGAGCATATTAAAATATCTCCAGTTAGCGTATTATATTTTTCTGTCAAAAGTTCCGCTGCAGAAATCCATCTAAATTTTTCGCCACCCAACACAAGCATTAGTTCTTGTGCCCTTTGTAATCTCTGCGTACACCATTCATATTGAAACTTTAAATTTCTATAAGAAAAATGTCTCTTATATATCAAGGCTTTTCTGTCAGAACATGATATTTGCATTCTTGTCATTTCGAGTAAAACACCATTGAAATTTTTTTTACGTTACTTTTGTTTTACTAAAACATGAATTGGTGAAAGTTTAGCGAGGATGTTTTAAAATGTTAGCATTTTAAAATCTTATTACTAAATATTACATAATATTAAAATTTTAAATTATTTTTCTACATCAAATAAGATAATATACACTTTTCCAATTGCCATTAGTATCAACCAGAATTGAATAAGTTCACTTATCTAGTTTTGAATGTTTCTAAACGTGCGTTTCACTTATATGCAAGAAGCAACATGAACATTTAAATATGAAATGTAGAAGTGAATATGTGCAGATATTTCATTTTCAACTTGAAACGAAACGGTAAAAAACTAGAATATATTTTCGTTTCAAAGTGTATAACAGGACATATCTATATTTCAATGCCCTCTTAGAAAATTTTATGATCTCAAGAAGTGAATAACCGTTATTATCTAATTTTGTCAGAAAAATTTTTGGAACAATTGGTTAGTTATAATCTTCTTCAAGGATTTATTCTAAAACTACTGGAAAAATTAAATTTTTTTTCCTGCATTATAAAGCACTTAAAATTTGAAGTAATACTGCATTCATAACTTTTTTTGTCAAAAATGTAAATATCATGTTCTGACGGAAAACTCTAGATATTTCTAATTTTGCATGAAATATATTATAATGATATAATTTACTGATGTTGAATTTGTTGCTCAGCAAGAATGCTTTGTATTTCTTTTAAGTTGCCTTCAATTTTTTCTAATTGTTCCAGTTTTTCTTTTAAAATAATCATAAGGGACTGGATTATAAAAAAAATGATTAGTTAAAAATAATATAAGAAATTGAAAATGTTTATGTTGTATTACCTTGTATCGATTTTCAGCTTCTGTTAATGCCATTTTCTTTGGTGCAAAGCTTTTAATCACTGCATCGTATTTGGTCAACGCTATGACCCACCGACAAAGTGCTTCACAGGCTGTGGAAACATGTTTTATTTTATCTGGCTCAAAATTATCGTTATTCAGTATTTTTTCCTGAAGTTTTCTAATGGTTTGCGGTGAAATGTTATCTTTATCAAAATTTAACAAACTGTCGACGAATTTAATATCAGCCAATATTCTTTTAGAAGGGCCCCAGTAATCGTCTATAATGCCGGCACTAGATGTAGATGGTACGCGATCTGCTTTAACATCTTTAAGAATACACACAGCTTCCAAAACTATTTTTACACCAATTGGCGGATTTTTCATTGTTCTGACGAAAGATATGTCAGTAGGTGTTAATGTGGTAAGAGCTGCTAAGGCTTGATTAAGAATAGGTAAAACCTCAGATAATTTAGCATCACATTCTTCTTTAATTTCTGACACGAGTCTAGCTTGCTCCAAAGCTGTTTCTTCATCATTTTTAACATTTGATCGTTGTTCTGCCACATTATCGCCGTCTACTTGAATTTTAGTTATTTGTTCAGCCACCTACATATATGATATTGAAAAAACTTTAAAAAGAGTAACGTGAATAAACTGTGTCATTTTTGAAAATAAATTTATATCTTTATATCAACACAAGTTAGTCACTACATGAAAGTAGTCGCGTTTTAGTAAATAAACCCACACTGTCGGAGTACATCATACCTAACCATATGAACTTTTTATAAATATGAAAATTGCTGCATCCAGAGAAAAATTTTAGAGTTCATTTAAATTTTGAGAGACCGTTAGTGTCAACATCTTCACTTTGGAGAATATTTAAAATCTATAAATTCTCTCCTAAAGACTTAATGCAATTCCTCTTATATAATTACATATCTTAAAATAATCTTGCTGTTGAAGCACAAATGTCTTTACACCTATCATAGGGTTACCTAGTTCTTTGAATTTAGTCAATCCAGATAATCCAGATCAATCCAGATGTGGTTGTTAAAATTTAAATGTTAAAGACAGAAGAAAATGATGGGGCAAAAAAATCAAAAAATTTAGAAGCAAATACCTGAAATTAATAATCAATAATGGAAACATTATTTTAATCGGCAGAACTACCGATTATATAGAAATTGACCGCATAATACTCGAAAATTTCAAAATCTTATGTTGTATAAAATAATATAATTTGTTGACTTTTAAAAATCGTTGGTAAATTCAGCATATACAGGGTGATTCAGAAAGGTATACAACAACATATACCATTGGTTAAAGGGTCGAAAATTGGTAAAACTTTTGTTCCGGAGTAGGTACGAAATCTCAAGGGTTTTCGAGATACAGGGATTTTACGAATTTTCACGAGATTTCTAGTTATCTAAGCTTTTTTCATTATAACTTCTATTCGAAAAAAGATAGGGGCTTCAAACAAACAGTTTCTGAGTCATAAGGTCTATTAAAGGGGCTTAAAATAATCACCTTACTTGATTATATATTTTGTGTACTTTCGGAATATCAATCATTGGAACTTTAGGATAAATCAAATTTTTCCCATTTTTTAATTTTTCAGTTTTTTCTAATCAGGTAATTTCGTTCGAAATTTTTTGAAACTTTGAAATTTTTTACAGAATTTTGGCCACTTTCTCAAACCTTAATTTTAGTCACTAAGTGTTTAAAAATATTTTATGGTACAGAATATATAGCACGAAAACCATTTCTATGTCAAGATTTTAAGGGCCCTAATAAAATGTAAAAAAAGAAAATTGTCATTATTTTTTACTTTTATTGATTTTTGCTTATTGATCTTAATTTAAAGTCGGGTTTTATTAAAAATGTTTTCTAAAAATGAGAATAGAACTGTCAGCGTTTAAAGTGAATGAACAAAATGTTTGCGTCGTTTATACTAATAATCAAAAAAAAACCTAGTTAAGTGAAAGTGTTACAGAATATTATAAAAAATGCCTGTTATTTACTCCTTTTCTATTTTTACCTAGAAAATATACAATACCTAGGAAAATGTAATTTTGACTCTTAGTAGAGTTTCGCTTTGTACTACCCGAACTCTCTGAAATACTCGCCAGTTACTTTCGTTAACAACCAGAACTAAAATATCAAATTTCCAGAAATTCCATCAATTCGTTCCGTGGATATGGTGAAAAATGTAAAATTGGCCCGCAGATCAGTTTTCGAGCCCTGATCTTTCCAAAAAATTTATATGTTCATTGTTTCAACACGAAGAATTTAAATATTAAATTTCAATTAAATCTGTTGATTATTTCTCTTTATATAACAAAAAATGTTGCTGACGCCTGATTCCTTCCAAAAGGTAGGAAGCCTAATAAAACTACAGGTTAATAAAAATAGCTTATTTACACTTCCCCAACATGGAGAAGTGCGTTCCCACCGAAAACGCGATATGCAAAATTTGTCGCCATCACATAACCTACCTATTGTTTACACAATGCGGTCGGTAAAAATCATTAATCTTATCAAAGCCACTTTAAAGTAAAATTGGGTCAAACTAAAAGTTTGTAATGTAGCACTTAACTTGATTGAAGCGGAGAGAAAGGATGACGAAAAAAAATGTTAGTCGCCAATTTATGAAGGGCAAAAGGAAAGAAAAGCCTCCTTTATTGATCATAATTTCAAATTTAATTATCTCGTCCTTAAATTTTGCGATATAAAATTCATTCGAAGAATTTTTCTGAATCGGTTTATATTTTTATATTTTGAAATGTTTCGCAAGAAATCAGGCATCGGCAACTAGACCTTTACTACGGGCCAAATATACATTTTTGTGTATATAAAGAGAAATAATCAACCGATTCCATTGAAATTTAATATATGAGTTCCTCGTATTAAAACAATGAACATCTTAATTTGTTGGAAAGATCAGGCATCGGAAACTAGACGTTTACTACGGGCCTAATATACATTTTTGTGTATATAACGAGAAATAATCAACCGATTTTTTTATTATGCAACTGACGGCTCACATATTCAAAAGATCTTTACGACTTAACAATGCGAAATATAATTTCTAAATAGATAATCGATCTGAGCATTGAGATAATCGATCTGATGTGGATTTGAGATTTATGAATATTAACGACAACAGAACCCAAAGATTGTAAAAAGAATATCATTTTATTCAGCGCACAGTTGAACAAACCGAATTTAGATAAATCAGAAAGAAGTGAGGAATTAAAATTGCCAGAAAAATTGTGACAAAACTCTTTATAAGTCGGAAGTTATCGTCGTTTTAACTGAGCAGAGGCCATAGAATCACAAGTTCTTGAAGCACAAGCTGTTTACTGCCGGATACATGACCAAACTTTACTGCTTCCAGAAGTTCAATCTTTCTAAAACTGCATTTATAATGAGAGAAGCAATCCCACACACCACACTCTAAGCTTTATCAGTAAAATTTTTGCAAGGTTGAATTGATAATTTTGCAATACAATATTTCGACCTGCTTTTAGCATAATATGTGAACCGATACAACATTACGAATTTCAATGGTGTGAGCAAACAACAGCAATATATTTTTATTTGATGCTTACTACTCAGTTTATAATTCAATTTCAGTTAAATTATGAGCGTTAATAAGTTTTATGAGCATTGCAAGCAGTGCAAATGGTGTTGATGGCTCTTCTACTTTTGCGTGAATCGAAATTAAAATATAGCTTCATTATATGTTGAATTTCGAAATATAAGTGAGGAAACAAAAGATTTAATTTTGTAATTTGCTTGTTCAAAACATTGTTGACTTTGTTTAACGCATTTCTTATTCCGCTTAATTCGATTATATGAATAAGTTTGAAGCTTCAATCTTGTATTTTCGCATCTCTAACATTGATGGTTATTTTGTGTGATCCTGACTAAACCAACATCTGCATATCCGCTGTAATTGGTGTTACTAGCATTAAAAATAAAGGAGAAGAAACCCAGTTAGAAGAGAAAAAGGTACGTAACTTAATCGTATTGCTGGGTAGCAGAACTAGAATTAACTAGAAATATTTTCTTTTTTTACCGACCGTATTGTGTAAACAATAGGTAGGTTATGTGATGGCAACAAATTTTGCATATCGAGTTTTCGGTGGGAACGTACTTCTCCATAGTAGGGAAGTGTAAATAAACTATTTTTAGCAACCTGTCGGTCTGTCGGTCTGTGTGTGCACGCGTGTATCTCAAGTTCGGCTGAACCGATTTTGATGAAATTTTATATGTAAGTTTGTTTCCACCATGGCACGGATCGATCAACTTTTGGTATATATCAGGCCTCGGGAACTGCACTTTTTGGCGGGCCTGTTTTACATTTTTGAACATTTTGAAGAAAATATTCAACCGATTTACTTGAAATTTTATATATAAGCTCAACTCGACCGTCCGCAAAAATTCGTATGTTTTGGAAGAAATCATATCAATGAACATATAAATTTTTTGGAAAGATCAGGGCTCGAAAACTGATCTGCGGGCCGATTTTACATTTTTCACATTTTTCATTGATTATCTATGGAACATTTGACGAATCGATGGAATTTCTTGAAATTTGATATTTGAGCTCTGGTTGTTACCGAAACTGACTGGCAAGCATTTAAGGGAATTCGGGTAGCACAAAGCGAAACTCTACTAAAAGCCAAATTTACATTTTTCTTGGTATGCTGAACACATCAGATTTTTTATATGCATGGTTCCAATTCTTCTTTTTTTATAATATCTTTTTTTATAATATCTTTTTTTATAATATTCCAAAAAATTTATATGTTCATTGCTTTAATACGAAGAATTTATATGTTAAATTTCAATGAAATTGGTTGGTTATTTCTCTTTATATAGCAAAAAATGTATATTTAGCCCGTATTAAACGTCCAGTTGCTGACACCTGATTTTTTCCAAAAGTTAGGAGATTTCGCTGACGGCCAAACAAAGCTTATATATGAAATTTCAAGTAAATCGGTTAAATATTTTTTCAGACGTTTAAACCTATCTTAACCTGTTCAATATTTTAGCATACATTGTTGTTTTCATTTCAATTAAATGCTAATGTAGCAATTAATTAAATTATTTATTATTGTTATTAGGAGGAGAAATGCTATGCAATAGTAGAACTCTGGGAAATAGTAAAACTTCTTTATTGCATAAAGAACTCTGGGGGAGACCACTTATTGCATAGTAGATCGGCGTTGATGGATCCATTTGAAAGGAGATAGGCGGTCATGCGATTACCCCCATTGGTAATTGCCGACAAAAATGACAGAGTTAAGGAGGATAAATCTGATCAAAAGTCTAATAAGTCTGCAGAAGACAAAAAAATTAACACCCAACCGTTAGTATGAGAAAGCATCATATACGCGAAAGTAAATTGGATACTCAAGACTCGAGAATAACCGAGTAAGAAAATTTTTGTAAGGGGTTACAAAACGAAATCTGCAAACTATAAGCAGAGAATGCAAATTTAAAAAATCAAATAGAATCTTCATCAATAGAAAAAAAGAACAAAGATGCGGAAGTTATTGTACATGAAATTGATGAGAAAGAACTGGATAGAAAACCGA